TAGTCCAAGGTTGCACTGTGTTTCTGGCCAACCTGAGGATTTTGCCTCCCAAATACGATTCTTTTTCATTTCTGAGGACACTGCCCAATTGTAGCCTAGAAGGCAGAGGAAAAGAACTATTAAGTAATAATTGACAAAGTGTTACAAATGAACATGAAGAAAGTGAGGCAACTTTTATTTCCTACTTCAATAAATACCTCAATAAACACTTTTATTGAAACGTTCAATAAACATTTCAATAAAAAGCACCTAAAGTACATCACACATTATTCTCCATGTATGTGATGTATGAGGTGTGTGGGGGGAAGAACTTGCTCTATTGAAGTTGAGAAAAGCAGACATTAGACAATAGTGAATAAGGTATACAACACGCTATATGATGATTGGTGCCCTGGGGGGACAAAAGTTGGATTTGGGGAAGAGCAGGGAACGAGAGGGTGCAATATTAAATGGGGTAGTAACAGGAGACCTCATGGACAAGTGGATACTTCAGGCAAGACTTGAAAAAAGGTGAAGAATTGAGCCATGTGGCATTTTTGTGCATATGATACAAGCACAGGGATCAGCCAGGGTCATATCACATGCAAAGCCAGGTGCTGATGCCCATGGAACTAGATGAGTGAGGAAGGCAGAGTTTAAAAGAGGTTCAAGAGGAAAATGGGCTAGAGACCTGTGAAGCTCCTCAGGGTCTTGTAAAAATTTGGAATTTTCTCTAAGTAAAATGAGGAGCCTTTCCAGGGTTTTGATCAAGGATGGACATTACCTGAGCCAGCCTTGATGGCCTGGTGGTTAAAGCTCAGTGTGCTCCACTTTGGCGGCCTGGGTTCAGTTCCTGGGAATGGAACCACATTACTCATCTGTCGGTAGCCATACTGTGGTAGCAGCTCACACAGAACTAGAACGACTTACAACTAGAATATACATCTATGTACTGGGGCTTTGGGGAAAAAAAAAGAGAGGAGAAGATTGGTAACAGATGTTAGCTTAGAGCAAATCTTTCTCAAGGGGGAAAAAAAAGATGGACATTACCTGATTCATACTTTGAAAGGGTCATGTTGGCTGGAGAGTTGAGAATAGACTGAAAAAGAATAAGCATAGGATAAAGAAGATCAGATAGATGCAGAAACCGAGGTAGAGGATGGTGGCTCTAATTGGGCTGGGGGCAGGCATGGTGATGAAAAGTGGTCAGATTCATGATGTATATTGAAAGCAGACCCAATCAGATTTTCTGTAGGCCTGGTTCTGAGGTATGAGAAAAATGAGTCAAGGATGACCCTTAGATTTTTAGAAAGCTGTGGCCAGAGCAGAGTTAAAAGAAAGCTCACACTGACAACAGCAATTGCTGGTGAGGATGTGGAGTAATAGGAACTCTCATCATTGCTGGTGGGGATGGAAAATGGTACAGCCACTTTGGAAGACAGTCTGGCAGGTTTTTACAAATCTAAACATACACTTACCATACAATCCAGCAATCGCATCCCTTGGTATTTACCCAAGGAAGCTGAAAATTTATGTCCACACAAAAATCTGCACATATCTATTTATAGTGGCTTTATTCAAAATTGCCAAAACTAGGAAGCAACCAAGATGTCCTTCAGTAGGTGAATGGATAAACAAACTGTGGTACATCCAGAAAATAGAATATTATTCAGCACTAAAAAGAAGTGAGCTATCAAGCCATGAAAAGACATAGAAGAAACTTAACTGCATATTACTAAGTCAAACTGAAAAGGCTATATACTGTATGATTCCAACTATATGACATTCTGGAAAAGGTGAAACTATGGAGACAGTATAAAGATCAGTGGTTGTGAGGGGTTAAGAGGGAGGGAGGGAGGAATAGGTGGAGAATTTTTAGGGCAATGATATGGAGAAATCTTAGGGCAGTGAAACTAATCTGTATGCATTGAACTATAATGGTACATGTCACTATACCTTTATTCAAACCCATAAAATGTACACCAAGAGTGAACCCTAAAGCAAACCAGGGTCTTTGGGTGATGTCACCAGAGGTTCACCAGTTGTAACAAATACACCACTCTAATGGGGGATGTTGATAATTGGGGAGGCTATGCATGTGCGGGCATGAGGTATATGGGAAATCTCTGCACCTTCCTATCAATTTTGCTGTGAACCTAAAACTGCTCTAAAAAAATAAAGTTTAAATTTTTTTTTTTTTTGAGGAAGATTAGCCCTGAGCTAACTACTGCCAATCCTCCTCTTTTTGCTGAGGAAGACAGGCCGTGAGCTAACATCCATGCCCATCTTCCTCTACTTTATACGTGGAACGCCTACCACAGCATGGCCTTTGCCAAGCGGTGCCATGTCTGCAGCCAGGATCCGAACCGGCGAACCCCGGGCCGCCAAGAAGAACGTGCAAACTTAACCACTGCGCCACCCGGCCAGCCCCTACCCAAAAATTTTTTTAAAAAAGAAAGCTCAGGAGAAGTGTGAAGGCGTTAAGTCTGTGGTATCTACTAGATGTCCAGGAATAGGTTGCAGATAGATCATTAGATAATTATCACCGGATTTCTGGAAGGAGATACACACTTGGAAGTTTTGAGCTTATATTTACAACCACGTCATTGCACAAGATCACCAAGAGAATGTGTATAGACCACAAAGAGAGAAATGACTGAGGATTGAGCTCTTGTTCTTCACAGTATTAAGGGAATGCGTTTTTTTTCTAAAGCCATTATATTCAGTGAAGAATACACAAAAAAAATCAGTGTTGTCAAAAGCCAATGAAAATAACTTTAAGGAAAATCTTAGATTTTCATTATTGTTTAGAAATTCATTAATGACAAAGTTGTGAAGATAAAAACTCTCATTTGAATGAGAACTAGTCATGTGTCACTTAACAATGGGGCTACATTCTGAGAAATGTGTCTACTACACAGTAAGCTATATGGTACTACCTTATGGGACCACCATGGGAAATACAGTCCATCGTTGACTGAAATATCATTATGCACTCATATGACTACACAGGAGTTGAGGTAACAGAAACAGAGAGAAAAAGTTCATAGAAGTCTAACCATAAAGAGTGAGGGAGAGAAATGGTAGAACAGAAAATGTACTAGATCATAGAGTGAAGGGTAGTTATTTCATGAAGTACACGAAATCTATCAATGTTACTTGTAAAAGAGATTAAGAGACTAAAGATCAGTGGTGGGTGGCTTATTAGTCAAGAAATTTGATAAACCAAGAACAAAACCCCTCAGAAGCTAAGACATGGGGAAGTAATCCTTAGGTGGCATTAAAGGAGGGATTGACCCTAAACTGAGGGGAGGCATCATTTCCATTTCAACAGAATGGAGCCCACAAGAGATTTATTTTAGATTTAGGAGGCAGAGGGTGTTGTCAAAAAAGAATCAAATAATTTCCTATTCTGTGTAAAGGTGGCAGAATGTTAATATAGACAGAAGTAATCCTGGAGGAACTTTATAAAGTAATAGATAGATTTATTTGGCATTCTTACGATTTTAGTGATTATAATGAGCAAGGAATACCAAACTGCACAGGCAAGGAACAGAAGAGGGGAAGGGGGTGCCAGAACAGATGACAGCTGAGGGATTCATGTAAAGTCCTTGACCAGAATTTGGGAAGATTTTAAGGGATAGATCAGTGATGACAGCTCTTTGAGTAGATGGACTGAACTATTTAGAGATAATTAGGACAACTCAGGCTACAAGTCCTAGATTATCTGGACATTCCTCAACTAAGTGACATGAGGTTTGAAGGTGGTGGAAATTAGTAGACTAACCAGTACTAACCAAAATATTGAGTTTTTTTTAGCCAACAGGAGCAGTAAATGTTACAGCAGTGATTGCTGAGCCCAGGGAGTTACATGGCTCTAGGGAAGCTCCTCAAACCCCACTGTTTAGGGATTTTTATCGAGGTGTCATTATACCGGCATGGTTGACTAAATCATTAGCCATTGGTGACTGAACTCTATCTTCAGCTCCTTCTCCCCAGATGTCAGGGGTGAAGCTTAAAGTTCTAACCTTCCAATGTTTGGTGACCAGCTCTCATCCTGAAGCTCTTTACTGGCCTCCACCCTGAGTCATCTCATTATCATACAAAAGACACTCTTATCACTCAGGAAGTTCCAAGGGTTTTAGAAGCTCTGTGCCAGGAACTTGGACAAATACCAAATATTTACTTTTTTATTCTACCACAGATGGAAATGCAGATTATGCAACAACTGTAGAGAGACGTATTCTCTGACATCATACTGTCTCCTCCCAGGCCCTCATGAAAGTTATCTACCCCTTCACACTGGCAGAGCTCAATTCTGTTTTCAACCCATCCCATACAGTGAATAAACTTCTTCAGATTAAAGGTGACTTAAACAATAAGACTTTTATTATTGCACAAACTAGAGCAATGTGACGCAAAGAGATCAAAGGTCAGTGACTTGGAGACTAGAAAATCTATCAAAAAAAAAAAAAAATCACACAAGACCAACGATGCCATGAAGGAAGCAAAACTTTACAAGCCACCAGCAGTTCCCAGACTGGGTCCTTGGGCCCAAAGTAGGTCAGGTCCACACCAAAACCTGTCAGAGAGAACACAAACATCTGTCTTCTCTGAGCATGCTGTGGTGAATGATGCATGCCACAAGGACCTGCCAGGTGGTAGAGGTGAGACAACTTCTACCATAGCACCTGGCAATGGCAAGGGTCCTGAGCAGGTTAAAATATGAAATGCAGCTCCTGAAAACTTCTCACATACCTGGAACTCATGGCGGACAGCTCCTCACAGAGGCTCTCTAGTGACATCACACTAAACAAAGAGATAGCACATTCCCCGAAGATCTAAGGCCAATAGCTTATGCAGTATTTCTCATGCTCAATGAGTTTAGATCTTTGGCTAAAGGCTTTCCCACATTTGCCAAATTCAGAAAATTATCCTGGTTGTGAAGTTTTTGGCATTGAATCAGAGGAGACTATTAACAGTATGCTTTCTCATGTTGGCTGCACTCTTGAGGCCTTTACCTAGTGTGAAGTTTATGGTGTTGAATGAGGCTGTAGTTTTGGCTAAAGGACTTTCCACATTCACTGCACTCATAAGGCCTTTCTCCAGTGTGAATTCTCCGATGTAGAATGAGGCTGAAGCTTTGGCTAAAGGATTTCCCACATTCGCTGCACTCATAAGGCCTTGCTCCTGTATGAACTCTTCTGTGTTGAATGAGGCTAGAGCTTTGTCTAAAGGATTTCCCACATTCACTGCACTCATATGGCCTTTCTCCAGTGTGAACTCTCCGGTGCTGAATGAGGATGGAGCTTTGGCTAAAAGATTTCCCACATTCACCACATTCATAAGGCCTTGCTCCAGTGTGAATTCTCTGATGTTGAACAAGGCTGGAACTTTGTCTAAAGAATTTACCACATTCAGCACACTCATAAGGCCTTGCTCCAGTGTGAATTCTCTGGTGCCGAACAAGTTTGGATTTGCACCCAAAAGCTTTCCCACATTCACTGCACTCATAAGGTCTTTCTCCTGTGTGGATACGCTGGTGCTGAACAAGTTTATATTTGAACCTGAAGGACTTCTCACATTCACTACACCCAAAAGGCCTTTCTCCAGTGTGGACTGTCTTATGCTGAACAAATGTGTGCTTGTAACTGAAGGTTTTCCCACATTCACTGCACTCATACAGTCCTTCTCCAGTGTGGATTCTCTGGTGCTGAATAAGCGTACGTTTGCGGCGGAAGGCTTTCCCACATTCACCACACTTGTAAGGACTTTTTCCACTGTGAAGAGCCTCCTCAAGCTCAGTACTGTTATGTATACTCAGTATCGCTTTGGGAGTAGCCTGGTGCTGGAGAAGGCCCCCGTTGACCAAGAAGTCCTTTCCAACCTCTCGACAGGTGAAAGGATTCCATGACGAATGGCTTCCAGAGCTCTTCACAAAGGAGGCCCTGTCTACGTCCTTGCTGTAGGGTTTTTTCCTACTGTGCTCCTTCTGGTGTTGGTGAAGATCCACACGGAAACAGAACTGTTTCCCACATACCACACATGTGTAAGATTTCTGTCCAATATATATTCCTTGATGCTCAGTCAGGTACAAAATATCTTTCATGACAGGAACACACATCTCACAAAGATGAGCCTTCTGAGTTGACTGATCTGGCTTCGAAGCCCTGATTTGTGGCATTCTTTCCAGAGAAACACTCTGTCCAGAAGGTGCATCCTCATTCTCTATGTCACACAAACAACCTGAAAACAGAGAAATGCCAGTGAAATACACGTTGTCTTTGGGGACAAGTGGCAACCACATCACAAATATGTGTCTGACATACTAAAGAATGAATGCATGAGGTTGTTTTCAGGATGAGGGAGTTGGAGTGAGGATAAAGGGCTGCTCTACAGTACTAGGACTCTAATAAAAGGTCACAGAAATAGGGAGGCCTCACAATACGAATGGCATTAAGCAAGGGACGCATAAAGTGAGGGAGAGGCAGGCAGAGTTTCCAACTTATTCCTCTGAGAATCACCTTCAGCAGGGCCTTAGTTGCTGCTGCCATGGGAGCACTGTGCAGAAGTTTTTGTCCAGGAACAGAAGAATCTGATTGTAAATGAGTAGCTGGTGGTCAAGGACTATTAAGGATATATGCACACCACCTGTTATGCATGAGCCAATGTTGGAGAACACTGCAGAGGCAGCAGTGGAGAGGAACGGGTAACCAGTGAAGGCAGGCAAGTTGGGAACAGCCAGGGGCTAGAAGTAGAATATAAATGACAAGTTGGCCAAGTATAAAGAACGGGGAAAGAGAGTTAGAAATGAGGTGTGGCCACCAGCAATGGCACCAAAACACTAGTTAGAACAGGTTCCTAGTATAATGTGAACAGAACCCTTGATGTCATGTCCTCCCTCAGCTGCCACTCAGCAGGGCCAGGCCCCCTCTAGCCCATCTTGCCATGGTGGGAGTGATATCCATTTTATGAAGCACCCAGAACTCTCTCCCCTCCCAACCTGAGTTGAGCAATTATACAGGACTTGGATAATGTAAGTCCTAAGAGAAAGGCAGGACAGGTAAGTGCCTAGTGCCAGCCCAGAGCAACTTACCACATGACAGACCACAGGAAAGAAAACTAAATGTTACAAAAATAACCTCAGATGAGATTATTTGAACAGCCTGAGGTGCATGTAAGTAGTGACCATGTCAGTGATGGCAATTTCCAGCACAGGCAGGCATGAAGAACTGTTAGTTGGAAGAAAAGAACAAAACCTGAACTATGTAGGTACCATGGATCTGGAAAGTCACCCAGCTGGGGAGGGGGCAAGTGAGGTGGGATCCATCTGGCTGATTGCAAGACTACGCAGAAGGATTACCCAAAATCCTTCCCTATTAGGCCTCAGGGTAGCAGGTATTGGGGCTGCAGAGAGAGAAGAGGGCAGTACAAACACTCCAGCCCTACCAACACAGCAATGACCCACAGAACTAGGAAAGGAAGGAGTGCCATGGTCTGGATGTAAGGACAGAGCAGCCCCTAGGGAAAAGCAGAAAGGCAAAGTCTATCTTAGGTCATGGGGAAGGAGTCTTACCTAGTGAGGATATGAGTGCCAAGTTCTCCAGCATCACATCCTGGTACAGGTGTCTCTGAGCCTCATCAAGGAGCCTCCATTCCTCCCAGGAGAAGTACACAGCCACATCCTCCCAAGTCACATTGCCCTGTCATGATGAGGACAGATGAAACCACAGCCTCTCTCCTGAGGACACACAATCCATCCCCTTGACATCTACCCCATGCCCATCCTTCTCCCAAGCTCCTCACCTTAGAGGAGATACCAGGAACTGATGTGACTGGTGCTGCTCTCTCCTTATGCTTCCATTAATCAATGTACCCAGCCCTCAGGAACTACAGGCAGGTAGGCAGAAAGAGGCCATCCAAGGTCAGGGACAGGACTGCAGGGCCCCATACCTTCCTTCCAGGCAATTTCCTTGGGGTCTTCCATATGGGTCACACATCACCCTTAAGTCTTCAGTACCAGGGCTCAGAGGCCATCAATTCACGCTCGCTCTCTCTCTACAAGCACCTCTCTCACATCTTCAGACCCCACAGTTGCCTCCCACAGTCACTGCCAACTCCCTGCCCCACACCAGAGTCATCTCCCTGGACTCACACATGGACTTAGCACATGGCATTGAGAGAGCTTGGCAAATTCAAACATGATCCAGCACTACCCAAGACATCCAACAGATCTCAACACCAGGGGGAACCCTGGATGCTGCTTTGAAGGACTCTCTGCCTCTCTCTAGTCCTTGTTTCAACATTAGTCACACACACCCAAATGTGAATTTCAGATACCCATGGCCCTCTTCCCCTTCTACTCTGCATTTGCTGCCCCCTCAGCAGCCACGATCCTCTTCTCTCCACATAACCTTCATTGTAAGCCCAGCAACACTGGTACTCACACCAGGCATAGTGATTCTCACAGATGAGCACATTTGCCCATGACCTTATCCACCAGCAAGACTGAAACACTCCCCAAATCCCATCAAAGCTCACCATAAAATTATAGTAAATCCATCTTATCTCAATTTGTCCTGTGCCTCCAAACCTGCCTCATGTTTACTCTCCCCTTGGAAGTCTTTGCCACCTGTCAAGACTATCCTCCCCACACATACTCCTTTCACAGCTACTTCTCTCCCATGTGTGTTTATGATGCTGATAACCCCAACCACGTGCCCAAGCAATAGACCTGGTCCTCACAACTCACACTCTTCTTTATGACCCACTAATAGCATTACCACCATGACCTGAATTCCTCTTCTAAATATGAATCACAGCTCCACCCTGGAACATACAATAGCCACCACTTTTGGATGTCTCCATGCTGAACCCCTCCTCAGATTTCCAGACCTCTGGGTCCAGCTGCCCACTTAATGCCTCCACTCATTTGTTCTCCAAAATACCTCAGAATCTTAATATGGCCAAAAACAAAACTCCCAATAATCCCCATGAAAATCACTCCTACTACTGATTATCCCACCTGAAGCTTCCCCATCCCTCTATCTGCTAGAACCAAAACTTTACTGTCATCTCTGACTCTTGCCTTTCTCTTTCTTACCCTTAAAATCAGGAAATCTGGGTAACTATCCTTAGAAAAATGGATCCAGAATCCAACCATTTCTCCCACCTCCACAATCACCAATCTGGTCCATAAGCACTCATCTGAACTATTACAGTAGCCTCCTCCCTCACCTCCAAAGTCTGTTTTCCACTCTGCAACCAGATGGAATCTGTTCACACCTGAGTAAGATCACCTCCCTCCTCTGTTCCAAATCTCCCATTACCTCCAAAATAGATGCTCAGCCTCTCAGGCAACCACATTACAAGACTGATTCCTGTCCCCCTGCTCTTTGCTCCTACCTGAAAGGAGACCTACTATACCCTGTTCCCAGCTCAGCCACAGTACCAAGTATTTGCATATGTTGGTACCTGTTCCTGGGAAGATCTTCTCTAACTCTTTCCACTGGTGGCCAGAAACAGGAACTCCTCCAAACAGCCCTCAGCAGGAGTCTAGGGGATTTCTCCCAGGTCCCCAAAACCAAGGGCTAGGAGAACGCAAAGAGCCCCAGGACACCAGAATCCCAAAGCTCATATAGGTGGCGTCTGAATCAGTGAGGGCCTGGCACACTCTCCACTTCCCTGTGTAGGTTCCACAAATGCTTCTTCAGCCACAGGGACTGGTGGGCAGAAGCAAGCCACAGAAGCTGGAACCACGGGGTGTTTCAGTGAGCTCAAATCTCCCCTGTACCTCTGCCCAGCCCTGGAGACAAAGTGACCTTGGGCTGAATGCCTAGACTCTGTGTTTCACTCCTCAGCGCTGCCTCTTCCAAGTTCTATTATGGACGAAGACTCCGCTCCCTGAACCTCACCGTCCTCACGACCCCTTCCCGTCCGTTCTCTCCGAGCAGCTCTTGGAGAACTTTTTAAACCCCAACACGCACCGCGTCCCTCTCTGTTCACAGCCCTCCCGGCTGAAGCCCCTCGGACTGAAGGAGCAGCCCCTCCCCTGCCAGTCCAGGCTGGACCCCACCTCACACTGTTCCCTGCGGACACAACGTGGACCCGGGGCCCCTCCGCCCGGGACCCTCGCCCGCAGCCCGGCCCCGGGGCCTGGGCTGCAGGCCCGGGAGCAGCGCCCGCCCGAGGGCTGGAGCTCGGCCTGCGCTGCGGGCGGGGCAGCCCGGAGCCGAGCGCTCACCTGAGCCGGCTCCCTCCGCGCGGCCGCCGCCATCGGCCTCGGGGGCGGAGCGGGGCCGGGAGCGGCGGGAGACGAGGCGCCGGGCGCGGCGCTCCCTGGCCCGGGCCTGGCGCGGGGCCCCGGGCGGCGTCGCCGAGCCTCAGAGCCGCCTGGGCCGCGGGGACGGCGCCTCCTCCCGCGCCTCCTCGTCGTCCCCTCAGCCCCGACCCGGCGCTCCAGCGAAAACAGACCCGCGAGCAGCCAAAATGAGCGCCACCAGCGGAATGCCGGAAGTCCCACCCCACTCCCCCCACCGGCCCCCCCCCCCCCCCCGCGATGCGTACGCACACAACCGTCTTTATCCTGATCCTTCATTGGCTTAATCCTGATGTCTCTCGGCGCAGAGTCCTCTGCGTAGTGTAGTTCCCAGAGCTCTCAACTAGACCCTCCCAAAGGCCCGGGAGCACGGCGAGGGTTCTGATAGGTTGGGAGAGGCCTTCGCTACTTCTTGAACAAGGGGCTGCACGCACGTGTGTGGGGAGTGTTGTCTGCAAGCTATCAGCAAAAGTTTTTAGAATCATTATTTTAGGCCCCATGGAGCTCAGCAGCTCCCAGAAACTAAAAATATTTTAGACGCTCCCAGAGGCTACAGATACAAGTGGACAGATCATTCCATAAATTCATTCAGACATAAAATATGTACATTTTTATCTGTAAACTAATAAAGATCATCTTATTGTTCTTCATATATATGAAACCTGAAGCACTAGAGTCAGCTTTGTGAGTATCTCTATGTTCTGGCAAGAACAAGAGGAAAAGACTAGATAGGGCCATGATGGGAAGATAGAAGAGGGATGTTGAGCTGCGCTGAAGCAGATGGCCAAGGGTGAAGCTCTGCCTCTGGTTCCTACGGAAAACATCTCTCCTTCCTGTAGGTTCAGTGATTTTGTCCTACTCAGTGAGGAACACCGTTTTATCCATATACCATTTCTTTCTCCATATCCTAAGATATATTCAATTCCTTTCAGGAATCTGACAAGTATCCCAAATGGAGAATTAACAAACGCTATTTTCATATGGAACAGTGGCTGCAGTATTCATAGTCACAGCATATGTGCAAAGGAGGCATCTGAATCCCATGATCTCATCGCCTTGCTGGGAAATAATGATCATGGGAAATTCAGATTATCTCAGAAAGACAGTTGTGAAATGGAAATTACAGAAAGTTATTAATAATATGTATGTAGCTCTTTAAAGACGGTGGTGGAAAGCTCTGTGGAAGGGTGAAGGGTGAAAAAATGTAAGAACTCAGTGGAATTTGAGAAGTCATGGAAGTCTAAGAAGAGCTAGAATCCAGTTGAGCATGTGACTGTGCTGGAACCTTGGTCACTCTGAGGATATTGTCTCCAAAATGTGATTCTTTTTCTTTTATGAGCACGTTGAGCAATACTAGCTTGGAGGGAGAGTGAACGAGGACATTTAGAGTAGCCAGAAGAGTAGACACAAACAGGGAATCTCACATGTCGTGTTTATTCACTGCTCTAACGAATGTTCACTGAGCACGTCAAGAAACCATGTAGAATTGTATTTCTTACAACGAGTTATGCCAAATACTTAGTAAGCAGTGTAAAAAATAGGAGCTAAAAATAATTTAACCAAATCAGAGTATGCAAAAAGGTACAATCTATGTAAGATGAAAGACATCAAAAAATTGAAAAATAAAAAGACGAATTGAGTCCATAAAAATTCTTTGAGTCTCTGTGAATCATAGATGAACATGGCCTTCAAGAAAGGCAGTCATTCACAAACAAGTCAAGTCCCATCTCATTTTCTTGATTAGAGTAGTTACTGTGGAGGCACAATTAGGGACTAAGTTAGGTAAATCTTTCTTTCAGGGATAGTGATAGAAAAATGTCCACCCCACAGTCCTTCTGGAAGGGATTTAAGCAGTTAGAACTCTCTAAATTATCACTGCTCAAAAGCTGAGAGGATGCAATAGCTTTGGAAATCCCAACAAACCCAATGGATTCAAAGCAGGTACTAAGTTCAGGATCTAACAAAACACTTTTCCAATTGGTTACAGGGTCACATTTAGACCTTAACGTTCCTGGTCATTCCTGCTCGCCAGCTCTTGCAAACTTTTAATCACTTTTTTTATTTAACATGACTTCTATTGCTCTAAACAGGAGATCAAGTTTAGCTTCTTTGTACTGGCCAGAGATATTCACTACAAACATAATGTTATGGACACAATAAAGGGAACCCTGCACCCATAAACAAAAGAGAAAGAAGAAGGAGGTTTTCAGTCTTGTGCTTATCATTTTGTTTTAGAGACAAACTATTATAGACACCCACAGCACAGTGTGGTGTGGTTTATCTCTAGGATAAAAAAATCAAACAATGCACACACACATAAACACACACGCACACTGTATGATACATTTTTAAAACTATATTTTTCTGGCACTTCAACACCCCTACAAACAGGCTGTGAGCACCTGGCCCAGATGACCAGGTGCACCAGTGTGATAAGGCTGGTCCCTGCCACAAGTTCCCCTTCTTGTCCTCCTGTGACTATGACCTAGTGACATCCAAACACACCAATAAAATCTCCTCATGCCTTCTGCTTGTCCACCTTGACCTCCAATAAAGACACTTGCCCAGGGTTCTCTCTGTCTCTGTCTGTCTGTCTGTCTCTCTCTCGCCGTCTCTCTGGGCTCCCTGGGCACTTCTCCCACCTGGCAAGATGGGCCAGGCCTCCCTCTTCTAGGACCTGTGAGTATAAGTTCTTTAATTTCATGTGCCTCTGCAAGGGTAATATCTGCCACCGTGTTGGAGTGATCCATAAAGACCCCACAAGGGCGACTTGCTCTCTCACTTACACCACCATTGGCCACGGGGATGGGACCATTCTAAACTCTGAGGAAGGTCACTGGGAGACGCCCTCGACTGCGCGGGGCTTACTGAGTGGCTCTCCCGATTGGCTTCACCGTCTGGGGCAGCTGCCTGCCTTGTTGGCGTTCTGTGCCCTGCTCTGCGCTGCCACTTCCTTCCAAGGGCTGCCAAGACTCTGCGTCCTAAGGTCCACATCCTGTCCAATCCCAGCAACGCACCCAGAATGCCGCTTCCCAGCCATGATCGGCAATAGGGGCTAATTATTCTCTATTTACATTCTGGGAGCTGAGTCACTGGGCCATGTGAATCGATACTTTTCCGCGCACCTCTGGTGATAGCGATTTCAGGAAGGACCGGGTCACGCTGGGTCACACATCACCCAGGTGCAAACCACGGCGCCTCGCCCAGAGCGCTGACGGTCCGGGGGCGGCGGCGGAGTGGGCGACCCGCACAGCTCAGCGTGTCCTCCCGTAGCACTTGGGAGGAGGGTAACTGGCTCTCCCCCCGCGACAGTCCTCCAGGGCCCTCCTAAGCGTCCAGGTTTCCCAGCCCTCCTCCGCGCCGCATCCCTCCTGCCGTCATTCTTGGTCCCCCGCTCCACTGAGGCGGATGGGGACAAACCAGAGAGGGAGACCACTGCGCACAGTGGGCCACTCGGACCACCCGGAGACGGTCAGGTAGACATTCAAGGAGAAGGGAAAAAAACAACTAGCCGCCTAGAGAATAAAACGTTTCTAAAAGCTTTTGAAGAAGAGAAAAAAAGAAGAAGAACAGAAAGAAACTGATTTTCCTCCGGTTGGGGCCTTTGGAGGAAGACGCTGCTGCCCGGAGAGACAGGGCGCTTCAGGCGGCTAAAAGCTTAAAAAAAAAGAAGAAAGAAAGAAAAGAAAAAAGTCTGCAGCTTTAAGCGGCTGTGAACCCAAGGCGGGGTGAAAAAGGGAATTTCTTTAAACCTTATGTACTGAGCAAACGCCAGGTCTAGCAACATAATGCCAGCTCTAGATTACCTATTGGCTGAAAAACACATACAGGGGGAGCAGATGAAAGGTAATCAAATGAGGTGTGTGTGTATTTATGTACGTGTACGTATATATGTATGCATGACTAAGTTAAAACAAGGTTCCATAATTGGATCCAACCGGAAATCCAAAGTTTATATACCAAAGAATTTCCATAACAAAAAAAGATTAAAAGGACACTGATTGGCTTTTCTGCCTCTAAAACCTAGTTCTAAAATGAAATGAACATTTGCTAAAATGCACTAATTGACAAAACTTTATGGAGTTAATCAATACTGGGACTGAAATTATAGCTTTACCTGCGGAGCCCATTCAGTTTAAACATTGTGCCTCCCATAACCTGAAGAAAGTAAAGAGAAAATGGAAAGAATGGTTATGCCTCACTTTCACTGTTGCCTTTCCTACATTTTCCACAGTCACAGTTCCCATTGCCTTAAAAGATTCCATGATAGGTATATATGCTCTAACGTAATAATAAAATTGAATTAAAGTACATTTTTGACACTTGCAAATTGGCTTGATAAATGAGACCCCATGAATATCCAGTTAAAAGACTGACTATGGCCCAATATGAGTTAAACCAGAGCTTCAGGATTAAAACTTACTATATGAAACCTAGTCAATAAGGGGTGATTATCCCCACTGCTTCTCCATTTACAGCCCAATTTTACCTGTTTTTAAACGTGGAGAAAATAAAAAGAAGCTCATGATGGATTTTAACAAACTAATGCTGTGCTCCCATCCATCAAGCCCCCTAGCCAATACTCGATGTTATTAAAATTATTAAATGTGTTCAATCAACAACTGGTAAATATCTTCTATAGATTTAGCTAACATGCTCTGTTCAGCGCCTCTTTCACCAGCCTCTCAACTGCAGTTTGCTTCCTCCTCCAAAGGGACACAATATACCTTTACTGGGCTACCCCTGGGCTACCGCAACAGCTCTACCATTGCACACGATCTGTGCGGACAAATCTCAACCACATCCACCTTTCTCCAAAAGCATGTGTGACATTACACTGATAACATCCTCCTCCAAGGAGATTGATTTGACACACTTATTAAGGCCCTATCTGTCCAACATCATTTAGTCCTTTTAGGGTTCTGGTGGTGACATATTCCTCATTACAAATTTTACTTCCAAATTAAAATCCACACACTCCTGCTAGTGTCCTCAGAGACTCCTTTCCTGGAGAGCCATTAGCAACCTCTTCTCATGCTTCCTGGAGTCTGGACACTTATGATGGCCATTAGGTGCCTCAGGGCTTCTGATACAAGAAACTGCCCCTCTCAGCCTCGTGCTATACGCCATTAAACAACAAATGACTGGCTGCCTACTGGGCTTTCCCCGAAATAGAGGCTGT